AGTCTTTTATTGTGTATGGGTATGTTTTCAACTTTTGTGAAGTAGGTGGGGTTTTACATTTCAGATCACTTTAGTATACAACAATTTAAACATCAAACCTCCAATAGCTTGTCTTGCCTTTTTTTCTTCTTGAAAATAAAACATTTCCATATTTTCAGAAACTTTTAATTTAAGTTTTATTGCCATATAATTCACATCATACAATTCAGTAGTTCAATCTTATTAAAAATAGTTGTACCATCATCTCCACAATTTTAGAGCATTTATTTCTTTATTCCCTCCCCTCCTCTCCCCTAAGAAACCATTAATGCAGTCAACTGTGTCGATAGCTTGATCCAGCCTGGATTTCATATACAGGAAGAGACAAAAATCCAAACCACTACACTCTGCTTGACACTAAGGCTCCCTGGTCTGTGACCAGAGGGGATTCAGTATTCTGTAAGGATGCATAGTATTCATTTTATGTATGTAGTGTGGCTTGTTTATCCACTTTTCCACCCACTGAGGGGCATGTAGGTTGTTCTACCTGCTTGTTGCTGTGAATAGTACTGCGGTGGACATGACCGTGTATATCTCTATATTATGGCTCCGATTTCTTTAGAACAATAGTAAGTGGGATTCCTGTATCATAGAATGTTTTTATTCCCGTTGTTTGAGGAAACAGACCACTGTCCAGTTTTGCATTCCCATCAGCAATTTATGAAGGTTCTAATTTCTCGATACTCACTCTCTCTAGCATATGTTATTCTGGGTTTTTTGGTGGCTTTTTTTTTTCCTTTTTTTAAAACTGCTATCAGTGCGGGTATGTGGTGGTATTTAATCATTGTTTTGATTTGCATCTCAAATGGCTAGTGGTTGCAAGCATTTTTTCATGTTTATTGCCATCCTGGATGTAGTCATTGGTGAACTGCCTGTTTATGTCCTCTGTCCATTTTTTAATTGGATTATTCATCTTGTTCTTGTTCGGGTGTTGCAGTTTCTGTAGATTTTCGAAATTAGTCCCTTGTCTGATGAAACATCATTGCGAAAACGTTTCTCCCAGTCTGTGGTCTCTTTTCACTCTTGATGAAGTTTTTAGATTCACATAAGAATCTTAATTTTAGGAGGCCCCAGCCATCTCTTTTGTCTTCTGCTGTGGAAGTATTTTTCTTTATGTTTGATGTGTTTATGCCATGTATTAGAGTCCTTACAGTTGTCCTTATTTTTTCATTGATGATCTTTATAGTGCTAGGGCATTAATTCATCTTGAGTTTGTTTGTATATATATGGAGTGAGGTAGGGGCTCTGCTTCATTTTTCTGTAGTAGCTTAGTCTTTTCTGTGATTTTGGGTTTTGTTCCACTTTCTCCCCCTCTGTCCAGGACCTTCTAATGTGATCCTTTTCAGAGTAGTTGGCACTGATAGCCAGACCATCTAGTTCTTCTGATTTCAGGGCTGTGGAGGCTGATATTTGTGTGGTCCATTAGCTCATTCGACTAAATATATGTGTCTTTTGATTTTTGTCAATTTCTTCTTTGCTGGACGAGGATACTAAGGTTTGTGTCTTCGCTTGTAAGACCCTTGTCAGTGTTCACCAAAGTAGAATGTAGAACATTGTTTTTGTGGAACTATGCTTTACTATTTGACTTTGATGCCCTTCCTCTCTGCTCCCCCTAAACTATGATCCTCATGCTCTAGGCCCAGTACCTCATTCCCTCAAAGTGTTTGGTTTGGTTAAAGTCATAGGCTAGAACATAAGTCCTCAAATTTATTTGGTCTACTACATCGTTTTTAGAAAAAAATACTTAAGCACCCCCCAGCAATGAAAAGCTTTTGTACTATACCCCATAATTCAGGATAAAGTATAGGTGTCTGCTTTCGCAAGACCTCTCCACCATCATCCTCATCATTCCGGCACCCACTAGGGACTGGTATCTCTCACTTGGGGAAACACTGGACAAGACAGGTAAAAAAACAAATTGCCATTCATTTGGTTCCAGCTCATAGCAACCCTGTAGGACAAGGTAGAACTGCCCCTGTGGGTTTCCAAGACTGTAACTCTTTCTGGGAGTAGAAAGCCTCATCTTTCTCCTTTGGAGCAGCTTGTGGTTTTGAATTGTTGACCTTGTGGATTGCAGCCTAACATGTAACCAATATGCTACCAGGGCTCCTAGGCTAGACAATAGATAAGTGTGTTAATTTTTGGTTGAAGGCAAAAGGAACATACAATAAAATAGGCTGGCCAAAAAAAAAAATGATGTAAGCAGGGCAAGACATCAAAAAGTTTGCAGGAACTAAAAGCACTAGAGGCAAATGCTGTTATATGCATCTAGCAGTAGTAGTGATCTCTACAAATGAATGCTCAGATGCACATGCAGGCTAAACAGGTATGGGCAGGAGAGTGAGGGTGTACTTATGAACAGGTAATATTTGACATAGGATATTTGTGCATGTTTATTTACCTCTGCTGCAGTATATCCAAGAATGTTGTGGTGCATATGGGACAAAAGTTTTAACTTTTTGTGGTCCCATTTACTTATTTTGTCTTTTGCTGTTTGTGTTGTTAATGATACTAGGCTAACCATTCAACCCTCTGTCTTACAGGGTTAGTTTTAGTTCCACACTGTCCTATAGTGTTGCAGTGAGTTAAGATTAACTCTAGGGCAATGCGCTTGAGCTTTTGATTTTGATTAGTGAGGTAAAGATCCTATTTCATTTTTATACTTGTGGAAATCTAATTTTCCCAGGATCATTTATTGAAGAGACCCTTTTCCATCAAATGGGAAAAAAACAGTGTAGGTCAATTTCTGGACTCTAAATTCTATTACATTGATCTATGTGTATATGGCTATACCACTCTCGAGCTGGCTTGATTACTTAGCTATCTATGTTTTAAAATCAAGAACTGTGAGTCCTACTTTGTTCTTCTCTCGCAGCATTGTTTTAGCTACTCCAGGTTTTGATAACGCTTAGTTTATTTCATGGTAGCGCAGTAACTGGCTCTTCCTGAACCAACAATTGAATTGGGTCTTAATCTTAAAAGTTTCTTTGCAAATTGATTATTTGAAATCCCAAAGATTTTACTGGACTCCTTAAGAAAAAAATACTGTTTTATTTATCTTTGTACTCTCTATGGCTGGTGTGTTTATGCTACATACATGTATTTAGTTATACTTTTTGAATTCATGATTTAGATACCCACATTAACCCAGAGAATCCTTTTGACACATAGTATGCCTGGTTTCTTACAGAGGAGTGAATGCTTAGACATTTGAGGCTATATTTAAGTAGACAGGTCAGAGGTTATCTATATTCAGAGTTCTTTAAGAGTTTGTGGCAAGATAGTATTTTTTTCCTTGAGAATTCTGAAGTATTAGAAAACCATATATTTTTGCAAATAACAGATGTTTGTGTGAGTGAACCCAGTAAATTAATGTAATCAGAAGGCGGCAATGTTGTTTAGTGTTTAAAGCAGATATGGAATCAAACCTGGGTTTGAATCCTGTCTCTGGCACCATCTTGTCACTAAGTAGGAAGTGGAAGAATGAAGTTTGTACATGTCTAGGGCAGGAACAGTCTACTCACAGGAGCTAGCTGATCCAGAGTCCTGAGGTGTTTGAAGAACAGCAAAGAGACTGTGGTGGCCAGAATGGAAAAGCAAGGGAAGAATTAAGAGATGAGATCCCAGAGATAGCAAGGGGTCAGATAAGGGAGCCTTGTAGGTCACTGGAAGGACTTGGACTTTTTGCTTTGAGGGAAATGGGAAAGCATTGGAGAGTTTTGAGCAAAGACATAATAACAAGATCTGATTTATATTACTGCTTGCATCAGGGTGATTGGGCTAAAGTGGTTTGGATTTTAAATATATTTTGAATTTATAAAGCATAGTACTGTATACATTGCTTTGTGAGAATCACACTGTTGGTTAAAGAAAAGTCCAGCACACATGTGTGGCTGTTGAAAGAACTATACTTTTAAGAAAGCTCCAAAATCCCTAGGGGGTATGGGCAGTAGCCTGCAACTTGCTTGCCCAAACTTGCTTCTTGATATCACTGTGTGCTCTCTTCTTGTGCCATCCCTGTTCCAGCTCCACTAGGCTAGTGGAAGTTTGATCTCCTGACTGCCCTCTGTAGCTCACAGGTAGATTAATGGTGAGTCAGTGATAGGATTCTCAAATATACTGCTTTTTCATGTGGGAGACCTAGGTTCATTTCCAGCCAGTGCTCAGGCACATCTGCGATCTACAATGTCTGTCATTGTACGTTTGTGTGTTTCTATGGTGCTGATTGAATTTTAAGCAGAGTTTATAGATTAACACTAGAGAGAAAAGCCTTGTGATCTGCTTCCAAAAATCAGCCAGTGAAAACCCTATATAAATCACATTGTTTGATTGATCTTGTATGCCAAGTTGCCATGAGTTGGGGCCAACCCAATGGCATCTAAAAATCGCCATCACCTGTAAGATATCACACTATTTCTAGGCTCTAAACAGAATGATGTATTCTTTTGTGCTTGTCTACCATTGGCTGAGGACAGAGTGGCTGGTGAGCTTGAATGTGTGTGTATTGATAACTGTCAACTTCCCTGTGCTCTGGATTTCCAGGTTTATTTATTTGTTTTTAATTGGACAGCTTCACATTTTTCTAGGCATCTCAGATTCTGTATGATCTTTGAGTCTTTTCCAAATTAAATGGGAGCAATCTGTAATGGTCAATGTATAATAACTGTATATTATGATATTATGAAATAAGTGATCATAATTGCCGTTTAATGGATTCTTACTATAGGCTAAGAACTAAATGCTTTACATAGAAATTGCATGAGATTTTGGGGTGTTTGGGGGAGCGGTGGGGGGTAAAGGGAGAGAGAATTATTTTCTTATAAGCAACAACTTCCAAACTTGTTTCCCTTCTATCTTTTTTCTAAATAGCTTATGATATGATTATATGATTAAGAAATGTTTAATTAGAATTTGATAGCTTTTACAAAATATATTTACTGACTCCACATTTTTATTTGTAGGAACTGACTAAGGCT